TCTGTATTTAATTACTTGTACTGTACACTTAATTAATTACAAAATATAAGGTTTCTGTGAATTATTATTCAGAATGTATTTATAAAAAATTTATTCATTGATAACAAATATATTATCTTATAAAGTTTACAGTTTGTTTATATTTATTTAATTTACGAACATTTTAATTTATTTTAATGTGATATTAAAAATATATTTATTAAAGGCACCAGTGTCTGTATGGGGCACCGATGACCAAGCTCAGAAGTGTCGCGACATGTGCTCAAGGGTTAGGTGCGCACCGGCCAACAAATCTGAATGTGACAAGGTACATGGTGAATTTCTGGATTACGCACCATCACTATGTCGGTGTTGCTCCCAGTGCAAGGTCACATTAGGTATGTAGTTATATAATTAGTATTATTATAACAAACTAGTTAATAATATTTATTTTTTGTAGGTGTAGGTGAGAATTGTACTAGTGAATTTCGGTTAATTAAGGTATGCGACAGGGGACTGGTATGCGATAGACATCAATCGGTGTGCAAACGACAGTAATAATAAAAAATTGTTTGCAATTATAAAATAAAATTTAGCTTGATTAATAATAAAATGGAAGGCTAATTGGGTCTCACCATGAAGAAGGGAGACATTTATTTTGCAGTGCAAGCTGTAAACATAACCTATTCACTGATTTCAATACTAACACACAGTGTTTCTTATTTATGAAAAGCATTGATTAGGTTATGCATACAGTTTGCACTGCAAAATAAATGTCTTGCTGAGACCCAGGTATTCTGATAAAAATTGTTTAATTTTTTGTTACATTAATAAATAATATTTTATTTAATGAACAGTTTATAATAGAAACAATATATTTACAATAAATTTTTAAATAAAATTGATTAATAATATTCAATACTAAATTATATTTATTAATTAATTTACTTATTATTTCTGAATTAAATAAGACCTATAACAAAATTTCTATTAACTCAAAAATTAATAATAATGTTCAAGCATCTATTAGTAATGTCATACAACGTATACAGTATTAAGCTAAGTGTTAAGTACAATATTATTATACTAATATAATTTTATAAAATTTAATATTAAAATTATGCTATTTACTTTTAAACATGGTACTTACGCTTTTACCACCCACTGTAGGAATGGGTCGCAAATATGTATCTCCCGGTGCTTAACCATACAGTGTGCACCGGCCATTAAATCTGAATGCGATGTCCGTAATGGCTTATACCTGGACCCCGCGCCTTATATCTGCCGGTGCTGTGCTGAATGCAGTGTTTTTGATTTTGTAAATATATAAAATGACCATGATACTTATTTTTGATGTTTATGTTTAGATGATGGTGATAATTGCACTAAGGTATTTGGAGTAAACAAAGTGTGCAAACAGGGACTGGTATGCAGTCCAGAGACATCTACTTGCGTTAGCAGTTTATATATAAGTTTATAATGTACCTGATTAATTGGAATAATAATGTTATAAATACAATATTTTTTAAAATCAAGTCACATGATCTAGTCAAATAAATTTATTTTAGATAGGTAATTTAAACAAAAAATAATTATTGACTATGTTACAGTTTTGAAAAACAATTTATATTTTAAATTTATAACATCAGTAAAATATACAAGTAGATAATTTTGTAATATGTTTGACACCTGGATATAAATAAATAAATTTTATCGTGCTTAATAATAGTAATTTATTATATCATTTAAGGGCATTAATATGCATAGGCGGATATACATTTATTTTAAACAATTATTTAAAATTCATAATTTCTTAGTTTATTATCAGGGCAACTAATTAATCAATTATGTTTAGATTATTAAAATACATTTATAACTTGCCAACCCAAAACCAGGATTTTAAAATCATATATAACCAAGGCAAAATACTTCAAGATAATTCACAAATTAAAGTCTAATAAAAATTTAAAAATTATTTTAAAATGTTTAAAATACTTGCAATCATTGTGTGCGTTGGAGTTATAGGTAAGTAATTAATACAAAATTAACAATATTTCTAAATAATAAAATAATTTAATGTACCCAGGCCTATCAAATGCGGGTCCTATTAATACTGTGCCGGAGTCCAGAACCCTGGGAGCACTGGGACTTGGTTTAGGTCTACTGCGACCACATCTCTATGGAGGGTATGGTGGCTATGGATATGGTAACCGGGAATGTGATCGTGGATATGACCATGGTCATGACCGTGATCACCACGAGCATCATGATGATCATGATAGAGAGCCTATTGTAATTGTGGTACCCTCAAATGGCACGGCACAAGTAGTTCGTACTTAAATGAATACCTGGACAATTTGTTATAATTACAAACAATTTTAATAATAAAATTTAATTTGGCAAACAAAACTATGTTTAAAATTTTCTGTATTAATAATTTTTAACTTTTAAAATGATATTATTAAATTATTTTAATAGATATTAATTTGAAGTGGTATGTTTTAGGCCAATATAGTAAATTTTAATAATGTGAGCTAAATTAATTTGTATAAATAATTTAATTTACAGTTTAATAAATATAACTGAATTCAATAGTAATTTTAATTTAATCTTAATCTTAAGATATACAATAAAAACTATCTAAAAGTATACGACATTTATGTATAACATAATAATTACATAAAACGTTTAAACACAACACAATAAAATAAAACCACATTTGAGTAAAATATTAATTACTAAAAAATTTCAAATAATAATCAATTAAATGGCCCCAAACATGGCGACGAAACTAATAACATTATTACTGATTGTAAACCTAATACAATTGATAAACACCGAGGTTAAAAAGAAATGCGAATACAAAAGGACGTGCACCCAGGCAGACAAAGATAAATGTGACAAGATGTTTAAAAATACGTGCGAGGGCAACGGAAAACATGGCCTTTTCATACCTCCCGACGTTACACAATGTGAATGCGTTATAAAGCTAAGTAACGATTAAAATAAGCGTGGCTAATTTTACAACTATTTTTTTAAATCATCTATTATTTTATGTAGAGCTGAACGACCCGTTCGATAAGGATAGGGAGGAGCCGGCTGTTTGTGACTCGAAGCTTGTATGCAAGTCGACTAAAAAGGACAAAACCTTTCTGTGTAGGAAAAGTACCTAGATGCATAATTAATTGAAAATATGTGTAATGCAATTAAAGGAATAATTTTATAAATATTGGTGCATTAATTATAATAAAATTATAATGTATAGTTATTTATAATTTATTAATATAATTAGCTAAATACTAATTATCATAAATGGTGTATTGTTTTTGTTATAAAAATATAATTTTATAAATTGATAAATATTATAATATAATACACATTACCCTGTGGCCCAACATTTAGATAGAAAACTACTAAACATTAAATTAGTGTATTTTAATGTTTGTAATTACAGTTAGAAATTAAAATAAATTTACAACAACCAATATTTGAATTTAAACTTTATATGATAAAATTTGGTGGATAATTTTGCTATTTTTACAAAATTTGAACACAATAATTCAATTGATAAAGGTAACATCATAATATGTGATATATTTTTAATGAAATTATGTGTCATAAACAAATACTCAGAATTTCCAATGAATTTCATAAATGTTTGTAAATAGATATTTTGTGTATATGTTAAATAAACCATTATGCACCCTTTATAAGCTTTATAATATTTAATTTATTTAAATTAGCTTGTCACCCTGTTTGGCTAAAATATAATTATTATAGTTTAAATAAAATAAAATAAAATAATAAATTGAAGACAAAACAAATAATTTTATTTATTAATTATCTTATGAGCAGTTCATTAATCCCAAAAATATATAAACAATAAGAACTTAGTTTACATAATAAAATAATTTTCACAATTTACAGTTTTTAATGGGATTGACTTTAAGACCCTGTTGGACCCAGACCCAGTCAAAGCGAGAGATCTCCATAACTTTTTAATTATTATTAATTATTAAATTTTTATTAATTTTTTATAAAGAAACTAAGATGTATTATAATTTAAATTACTAATAATTTAATAATTATGAACTAAATTCTAGGACATTCACAGAACTTTCATAGGACATATGGAGAATATAATGGTAAATTACTAAAGTGGGAGAGCAATTTAAATAGAATTTAGTTTGTAATTATTAAATTATTAGTAATTTAAATTATAATACATGTTAGCTTCTTTATAAAAAATTAATAAA